TATATATATATATATATATATATATATATATATATATATATATATATATATATATATATATGAGAGAGAGAAAGAGAGAGATATGTAATAAAAACTTGGATATAATGTGAGGGAAAAGTATATTGACTCATCCTTGCAATAATTACATGTTGTTTTCCATATTCATGTGCCCTAAGCCTTTAACTATCAGTAATGCTCGTTTTGTATCCTTTATTATACTTTTCACTGTTTCAGTCCCTATATTTAGAGGGCTCAATGTGGGTAACGCTTACAATCGTTTTTGTGACGTGACACCCTAAAAATGTTGTGACGATAGAAGGAACACCGTCCCGTCCTCCCGTTTTTTGGTGGTACGTTGTTTCTCGTGGTGCTGGTAACGAAGCACAACGCCCGTTTTCTTCCTCATTCCTCTGGGTTTTTTTTTTTTTTTTTTTTTTTGCTTTTTTTCTTCCTCCTCATCGTCGTTTCAAAAAATAACACCATCCCATTGGTGATGTTATGGAGAGAAGATGATGAATCGGCATCGTAAAAACATCAGTGGGCATTGCCAACACCCGACAATCTTAGGTAATATATAAATGTTGAGAGTTCTGTAGTGTAAATACTTTGATTTTTCGTAAGCTTGAAAACATAATTTTTTAATGAAAATAATCAGTAATGATTTATATTTTAAATTTGTTTTAGTGTATTGTTTTAGTTTTTTCTTCTTTTTTTTTTTTGCATAAATCATTTCGGGTTTACATAAATAAATTTTATGTGTTTCTAAAACGTGCATTCTTTTAGTTTCTTTTTTCAAACATTATATTCATACATTTTATTGTTTAAGTAAACCTAAATGGTAATGAGAGTTGATAATCTAAAACATGCATTAATGCATTTAGCAACATTTATTACACAGTTTAATGCCTATGATATATTTTCGAGTTCCTTTTCGTCAAACATGCATATATTATGAATAATGCAATGATATTTATCTTAAAAGAACATGAAATTTGTTGGACATGAACTTTTCTCCTTTGAAAAAGTAAAACCATGAGCTCTAGTTGTTTTTAATTTCTGGCATTTATCAACTTTATCATTTATTAATTATTAAAGCATATGTGCAGTAACCACTAAACAACAACAATCTATTAATAATTTAATATAAGTTTTCATGAAACGACATTCACCAATATATTCACCTTCCTTCAACTCCAACTAATGTAAGATGTTACATCTGTTATGAAAATTGTTTCCCCTTATGCCCATATAATGTATGCTAGCTGTGTTGGTCAATATACTTTACCTTATTTTAAGAAAAATGTTTTCAATTAAAAAAATGATGCTACTATTCTCATAATCGACATTAACCACTTTAGTTATACAAACACCCGGCATGAAATACCTCTTACCCCACATGTGTCAGTTACACAAGAAAAAAACATGCGTCAATTCACGCGTCATCAAAACCCAATATACATATCTACGAAAAGTTAATTCCTACCCCAGTACTCCATTAATTCAATCCTTATCAACGTCGTTACTTTGGTGTCATTGCCAAGAAGCAACATATGCCAATTCATCTCCACCAAATTAACACCAATAAACATCCGTTACTCCGACTATTAGTTTGAATAAATCCACCCATAACAATCTATCCTGATACCATGTTGTTAGCACCTTGCTAAAATCCAAAATTTTATATTACTCATGATGCAAGTTATAGAAAGTAAAAGGGCCACAAATTACAATGTGTATGTACATGCCCCACAAAAATAAAATAAATAAATTTTAAGCCATTTAACACATATCATTTATTCTCTCTCTCTCTCTCT